GAAGTTTTTGCATCCAAGTCTGTTATTGCTTGGTTTTGTAGTACAAATATAACGGTGTGCAGAAAGAGTTGAACATGCAGGGAGCAGAGATGTTGAGAGTGCGAGCGACACACTGTGAGCAGGTCCCCAGAGATCTGACCAAGAGCAAATGCAAAAACAGAGCTAGAGGGGCTGTTACTGTATGTGTATATGGATAATAGCAAACACTGAAATACACTGTTTGCACGCAGCAATAAATTTTGTTCACTCAAATTGAGCTTTTCTTTGCTCAAAATAAATTTCTCCTCAAAATACAATACTTGTACTTTTACTTGTACTTCAATACTTGTACATTTTTTTTTACGTGCCATAGATGTTGTGCTTCATTCAGGCATCCCCCAGCATGATGCCAGGGCCCACAAGATATTGATTTTAAGAATCTATCATGTGGCCTCTTCTTTTGACCTTTTCTTCTCTCCTGACATGATGCTGTTGATTATGTAAATGACAAACTTCAAGTTAGGCATGATGTCAGGATGGAGTGATGTGAAGAGATTTGATTACACAGGACTTCTCATCCTAGCAGATGTGTATCAGTCCAAAGGGGAATCTATCCTCATCCCATCCTGTGGGATGAGCATAATGGGTAACCAATCTTCAGGCCACCACGTCAGATAGTAAGCACCAACCTCCGATTTGATGACCGACTCAATTGTCCTTATCAACACAAGGAGGCTCCAGGTTGTCAAACTTACTTGTTATAATTTTTTCATAACCTACTCCCTTGCCCAGTATCATCCATACTCTGTATCAGCAGAGCATGAATAATACTGGTAGGGAATATCAAGGCAAACAAGCCGGAGCTTCCCTCCAACGCTGAAGCTGACAAAGGCAAGAGCTGTCTTCTCATCTCTGTTTGCATTCACAGCCACCACCATGGCAGTGAGTTACATGTCCTCCTTCTGAGCACCAAAAACCGGGAGCTAACTGTATATCAGGATTATAAGTAGAAACCACAAATGATCATGCATTTATTTAAAAAATAAATTATATTAAATATTGTGAGTGGTGAGGAAAGACTTTTATGTTTTTCTTGTTTTTTCTCTTTTCCTCTTTAATTGCATCGGTGAGTCTGCCTTCAATAATTTAGTACTGTTCACTGTTGTGGATCAGCAAAGAACATACTGACAGAGATTATTCTTACAGGTGCTAGGGAAATCCTGACATTACAGGATGCATGGTGTTATACTACAACGGCAGAGAGATTTAAAAAATGTGGTTTCAGTAGAAGTGAATGGGGCATTTTTGTATCAAGAGGCACTACACAAAAAATAATAATGCAATACAATCCATTTTGTGTTTGTTCTTTGACATGTCCAATAACCCAATCACCCCCAATGCCCCATCCTCATCCAATTTATTACATGGAAAATAATTTTTGGTGAGTTTTTTAAATAAATAGTTGATAATTCAAACATTTAAAGTGGAATTTAAAGGCTTAAAATCCAGAAGATAATTTAATACTTGTGAATACTTTAATACAAGTGATATATGAAAAAAAGCAGAAGAAATATTGTTGGTTGAGGTTTTTCTGGCAGATTTTGAGAGTGTAGATTTTTGTACACAAAGGTATCCAAATGGTGCAAAATGCATAAGCAGAGTATGGATGAGTAAAAGACTAAAAGACTCTAGATTTTAAAAAATAAGTGTAAACAACCACGGCAGACCCGGGTGCAAATTCATGCTTTGCAGCATACTTTATTGGCTCTCACGGTTGCTGTTCACAATGTTCACAATGTTCACAGTGTTCACAGAGCTGCAGCTCTCCCGCTGCCCGCTCAACATTATCACCACAACCCCCACCAAAGGACCCAGTACAATATTTATATCGGCGGGGCGTGATTGCGGGTGATATGTCATCATCAGGGTAACCGGTTTTGTTTTTGGGGTTTTTTTTCAGCATGAACTGTGAATCTTTGGGCTAGTGCTCTCACCCATCGAGCCTCTACTATATTTTCCTTTGAAAGTAGAAAAGTGAGCTCTCTAGCGATGATTGACAGAGTGCAGAACAAACCTGATGAGTCTAAAGCTTAAAATCAACAAAACACCTCCAAACTTTCAGGATTTTTTCTGAGGAGTAAACTGACTCTTGTTCTCAAGAGTTTGTATCAAGCAGTCATTTTCAGAGGAGAAACCGAAACAATTCATGTGAGTGTACTCCGCCCACTCTGTACACAGCAGAGCAATCAGCACCAGCCTGAAAGAAATCTGAGAAACCTGCTGCTGCAGTCAGCTCTGTGTTTTATCTCTATTTGGCAAATACATTAAAGAAAAGCACAAAGGTTCAGCCAAGGCTGGAGGTGACCCATCAAACACTCACCAGGAACACAGATAAGCTTAGACTATGGCCTTTTATTTTGAAATTAACCTGCTCCATAGCAGTGTAACTTAGGTACATAACTAAAACTGAAAGCTCAGAGTTTCTTTTAAGTCACCTCGATAGACAAAGTCCTGCTTTGAGTACAAGTCTCTGCACGATTCCAAGAGCAGTTCTTTACAAACATAAACACAGCTTTTCTCACACTTTGCTGCTACATTTGGAGCTTTGTGGGAGCTTTTAACAACTGACAAACATTTGTCATCTTGTATGTGCTCACAGTTTGACAGCAAAACAACAAAAAAAAAGACTTTTTTTTTTCTTTAACCACATATTTCAGTGTTTTTTATAAGGTTCTTGTTTGTTTGTTCTCTGAATCAAAAAACAAAACAACAAAACAACAAAGAACCAAACAAATAAAAAAAAAAAAGACTTACCACAGATAAAGACACAGCGATCCAAACTGTTGCTGTTAAAGTGAAATGAATCGTTGGAGCTGAGCAGGAAACAGGAACTGAGACAATGATTAACGAGTCACTGCAAACCAGACACTCAAGTCTGATCAGTTTCTAACGTTCACTGCTGCACATTCCTTGGTGTTTATCAGCTAAACACTGAGCATGACGAACACAGGGACGGTTGACCTTGATTGCATATTGCATCAGATCACTACAGAGCATGTGTAGATAGCTCAGCAGTTTCTTATTACCTTCAACAAGGAGCTCATGTTTTTGGTAGTGTTTGCATTACATTCTGTCTGTAAACACAACAGCTCTAAAAACTCTGTAGGGTGTAGAGCAGGATGATGTTATAACAATCCATTGAAATCTGGTTTGCGTCCACCAAGGTCAACTTTATGACTTGTTGGTGGAAAATTGACAAAAAGTCTTAAAACTTGTACACTTGTAGAAGTGCACTGTGTAACAACATTTATAAAGTATAAAGATTTTAAATATCATGTCACGTTCGACCTCTGACCTCTCCCTGAGTTCAACAGATCAACCTGAAAGTCAGAGTAATGATAATGTTATATAGAGCCATTTATTTAAAACTATGTCATTGTTGGTACTGACAGCATGTAGCGAATGATACATGGGCATTATAAATATCAGGTTACTCTGGACCTCTGACCTCTTCTTTAGGGTCAAATATGGTCAAACTTTCATAAAATATATTTTATCTATAATTCAAATTCTACTGCCTTCATATTGGTGACATGTTTCATGACTTTGTTTTGTGCACTACAGTAACAGGTTGCAACCACTTAAATACAAAACAGTACAATGTTCCTGAATGTTTTTAAATAAACTGTTTCTTATAAAAAAAACTTTTTTTTGGTATTTACCATTAAAAATGTAAATGTATTTGAGTCAAAATCAAATGAATGCTACACATGTACTATATCCACATAAATAGAAACTAATTATACTCAAAATTATGTCAGGTATATCAGATTAGTTTTTAAACACTTTAATATTCACTGTATACATCTTTTGCAAATAGTTTCTTCAGTGCCCCTTGCACCAAACTTTGATGTATTGCTGGTTACATACAGCCAACTTTGATTTTTGCAAATTAACCTTTTTGTGATATTGTTGTGGAGAACATAGAACGGCTCAATTTATTAAAATGAGGAGATAATGATAACCTCTTCCCTGGGGTAATGATTTTGGCCACTCTGGCATGGAGGTACAAGAATAAATCAATTTACACATCATATTAACATGAGTACGGTTTTATTAACCCTCATGCTGTACAGAACCTGTGATGTCCAGACGGTATTCCTCTGGTGTTCTGCAGTGAAAACTTGTGGATTTAGGGATTAACATAGTTGCCATGGTTTCCTCTCTTCTCTTATTTATT